GATGAGCATAAAATCAGCCTGTGCACTCAAGTACTTTCACCCATTCATCAAATGAATGGGAGAAGAGCGGAGGGAGGAGACGGGTGAAATTTGGCGTGATGTAATTTTTCAGTTGCAGTCAAAGACTCCAACATGCCCTGTTATTAATGTGCTCTGCCTAAAACCCATAAAATACCGCTTCCAGATTGGTTGGAGAGCACCTGGAGCCCTGTAGGTTCAGCAAATAGGCTATGGCACTGGAAGTTACTGTAGTGTGGAGGAGAAAGTGAAGCAAGGGGATTAGAGGAATATCCTCAAGCTTGAGGATGGAGCTTTATGATGGAGCGGAGCAGAGCAGATCCTTTGGGAACCAGACATTTCAGATACTTTCTGCATAAATACAGGTCTTTCTTTTGTTCATTTTAAATCATATTGATTTTCCTCATATTTGTATATTCTTGTATAGGTATTATTGTAATATTTTGATATACCGTCCGAGGAGGCAAATAAAAATATTCAAAATATTAGATGAGAAAAAAAATCGTAGTACAAAAATAAAACAACGCCAATATTACAAAATACAACATTAAAAGATGTAAAAATTACTCGTTTTTCTAAAGAAACACTGTCCAACTTGCGGCACCAGCAGTAAGGACTCTCTCGCCTCCCCTGAGCCCATTGAGTTTTAACAGACCCCCTAAAGTGTGCCGAAAGTTTAGTGGGGGGAAATAGAGAATGAATGAGTGAAAGTCATGTTAAGGTAATGCCTCCATTGCGATATTATTGGATGTTATGATTGGCTATGATTGGTTCATGCGATAAATCCTGCCTCCCGCATTCGCGAATCAGTCTGAATGAGCAATATAATGCTGTTAATGGAAAGACTAATAAAAAAGTAAACAACTCACACTTTTATAACCACTTTGTCAAGTCAAAATAAAACGTGAAATGGCATTAAAACATAATCTGTGGGAGTTTTTAGTGAGTAATCAGCTTGAAATTGAAAATAAAAAATAATTGGTGAAATTTAAAATAAATCTCTGTGTCTGTGACCAATATTTACCAAGCGTTGATGACTGATGATCCGAAAAATTCAAAAATAGTTAAAAGTTAACTATTAAAAAGAATACTGGTAAATAAATAATGCTGTGAAGGTAATTATATTAAGGTAAATAATGGTAATTTCTTAAAATTTATTTTGTTTTCATTTAAATGTCTTTTACTGTTGTACCATTGTCCCAGACTTTCAATCTTAAACTATAAAAATCCATCATAAAAAAATATTATTACTTGGGTAAAACTAAGCTAATCAATCAATCACTCAATCAATCAGTCAAAAATTTAATTTAAAAATGAATTCTTATCCTATTAAAACCAATGCAACATCTTTTTTCGATCTATTGTGTGCAAATATAAACACAGGAAGTACTTGATTCTCATTTAGCAAACAGTTTAATCAAAGAGTTCATGAAATTTTACCATGAACATATTGACATTTTGTCAATTTCAACAAATATTTCTGTCACTTTGTCATATTTTGTGATATTCTGTTTTGGTAGAATATAGAAATTAATTTCAGTGTAAAGATGCAAAATGTAACAAAATATTTTCAAATGCAGGTGCAATTAATCAGTCAGTGAAGTTAAGATCAACTGTATTCAACCATGTTATAACATATCTAGTGATCTTAATTGTTAATCAGTTCAGATTGTCTGCATGTGAGATGAAGGCGCTCTGCATCTTAAAGCATACCATATAACTGCAGTTCCTTGACGAGAATGGTTCTCTTGACATCATCGAAGACCTTGCGGATGTTGTCGGTGTCGGTGGCACAGGTAAAGTGTTTGTAAATGCACTTCCGTACTCGATTTTCACGGTTTAAAGCTTGATCGAGGTAGAGGGCACTGATGTAGTCCATCGCGTCATTCTCGTCTCGCTTTTTGCCTGGCATCATAATAGGGTGGAGTTGGAAAACATTTGGATAAAAAAGACAAACAAAAAAGGAAATAGAAAATGTAACCAAAACAAAATATAGAAAAGGAGGGGAAAAAAGAACAAAAGATTTTAAATTTCACCTCAGAAAACAGAAAACCAGTTCATCAATGCTAAAATTAAAGGCACTTTCCATGTATAGGGTACACTTTGGTTTTTTAAAAGCATTAGAGGCAAAAATACAATTAACTATTAGATATGTTACTTATAAACTATTTTTATATAACATAACAATTTTTATATAACATATAACAGCACTTTCTATAGCAGGCCTACAGCATGCAAAGTAAATGATCTCATTAAATTTTCTCAATTTTTATACAAATTGTAGTGTTAACTGAATCCATAAAACTCAAACTTCAACCCTGTTACCCTGTTTATTGTGAAAAGAAAATAATCAAGCAAATAGTTTTTATTTATTTTTTAGATTTGAGGGAAATCTAAAATTTTATTTTATCAGTACATAAAACCTAATCCAAAAGGTTTTATATTTCCCCCCCCCCCCACAA